CATGCTTATTCGGGCTGAGTTTTTGTTTGAGTCCAGCATTCCTGTTGTGGAGTTCCCTACTTGACAACACGATGCCCGGACACCAACCGGGGAAGGTGTGGTTTGGGCCCCACAGTTTTGGGTTTTGTGCTGGGGGATGGGGAGGGGAAGACATGTATTTTCACTGTATTTGACAGCAGTTTACTGAAGGTGATGCCCAGGGAGGCTTCCACTGGAAGAGAAATCGGCATCCAGCAACTCAGAACTTCAAAGGCTATGGTGACCCGGGAAACAGAAAAACACCCTGTAGGCCAATCATTCACTCCAGACTCTCCATTCTTGTGGGAAATAGGAACCTGAGATGCCATGTCTGCCTCAGCCTCATCTCGGGATCCATAAATAATTCATGGACGATATCAATTGATTTCTAGGAAAGGGGGCCAAGAGAACGTTCTGAGTGTTTACCAATAACATGGCCCGGGGAGCTCCACCTTATGGAAATGAGTCCTGTTCTTGGCAGGAATAACGTGTGCTCAGGGTTGATCCACACCCTTTTAAAAACATACCATCGCTTTTGCAGCGAAAAGGGGACTTTTTAGAGACAAGTAGGAACAGAGACCAGCTTTCCCCTACAGGTTATGCACATGTGGTAGGAACGGATGAACCCAAGTCTGTGCCATTTAACGACTGAACTCATTATAGGTTGGTTACGCAGGCATTGTTTCAATTTTCCCCGGTACTATTCTTAATTCAGATCAAATTTTATCTCATCAGTGGAAGAAGTAGCTGCAAATAATTTCATGCCCTGCCAATGACATAGGCACCGATTTTTAACAAAATGCTCGTAAACTTTTTTTATGATACTGTAAAACTGGAGAGCTCATGCCCATTAAAACATAAGCCTCATGTTACATGTAATTAAGGCCAGGAGCAGAACGTAAAAATGTAAGTTTTAAAATGTATCTTGTATTACATATTAAATGCGCACAGAAAATACTGCCCATGTTCCATTTCACAGGCCAAGGTGAAGACAAGGAGGAAAGTTCACTGTGGGTGAAGGATTCTGGGGGTGAAAAAAGTTAAGGGACAAATGGGTTGCTATTTCCAGTTCTCCAGAGGACAGAGTATATGGTATTGATGGTTAGAGGTCATTTTCTATTTTTCCTAATTAGAAATAAGAAGGTATCATTAAAGGCACATTCGGCTGCTCTCTCGTTAATGTAGGTTATAATTTTTGGTCGAATAAAGCTTGAAAATTATTACTTATTTTTGTTAAAGAATGAGGCCCTCCAAAGTGACTTGTACCTTAAGAATAGCTTTGAAGAGATGTCCAAGGTCTGTCAAAGGCGGCTGGAGAGGGTGCTACACATCCCAGAACCCAGTGGGGGAGGATCCTCTCTTCTGGGGTGAAAACCAGTGCTGTCCCCCCCTTTCAACTCTTCTCTGAGTATGATGGGCCCAATGGATTAAACTATGCCTCATTTACTTCAGTGTTGGCATTTTGTACCACCCTCTCACTTCCATATATTTACTGGCAAGGGGTGTCAAGAATTCGGAATCTCAGATCGTCAGCTGTTAATGTCAGGTCTACTGGAGACTCAGCCACCTCGTGTATCTAAGTGGAGATTTGTGGATATACAAGTGGATATATGTTGCAACCTATGCCCATTTTATTTTAATGTTCCTAAATTGTTTCTCCTATTTGTCAAATTGATGATTTAATTTCAACACCATACAATCATAGACAAATGAAAATTATATTATAGACTGTAAAGAAAATTAAAATGCTGACTTGGATGCCCTACACTGAGCTTTCAATCTACAGATTTTGAACATTTTTTAATGGAAAAATTGGGAATACAATGAACAAAATATATATGTCACATGCCATTACCACTAAATTGCTTAGTCTAGCCCTAAAAGCAGCATTGGATTGGTGTATTTCACTAGCCCACCATATAGTAAGTCGCTACATAATTGAGAATTCTGTTACATTTCTGAGACCGTGTTACTTTTGAATTCTGGCGTACAAATAATCAATTGCAATTACTTCACTTTTTAAATATCAAAATATTTAAATGAATTTTATACAAATTGCTTTTCATGAAATAAAAATAATAATATGATATTACACATAAATTTCCTAAGTAAATATTTTGGTTAGATATAGTCAATGTTTCCCCACAATGGGCCAGTCAGCATAAATCAAATTCAAAACCTAATCTACCTGAACAGGACAACCATGTAGGAATAGAAATTGCTTATTATAGTGTTTTCTCTCTAAAAGTGGCTGTTTTAATTTTATTCTTGCTATTCCTTGGGTTTAAGTAATTATCTTCACTTACATTGCAAACACTCACATATTACAAATATTCCTGATATGGTTTAAGAATTAGTACTTGGAGTATGTATTGAATGTGTAGTGATCTGACATCCAATCTATAATAATAAAAGCGTAATATGCTAATTAGACCAGACAGCCGAACAATCTTCCAGACGTCCTTCTGGATGACCTTCTGGACGAAGCTGGGGCTGCGAGAGCTGAGGCAAGCCACTGCAGCTGCGAGGGCCGAGCCCCTTGCATGAATTTCATGCATTAGGCCTCTAGTAGAGTTATAAAACAGATTCTTCCTATTTCAAGGAGCATAAAGAAAACAAATGGAGCACCATTTGGGGCGGCTGTATATCACCTGGAAAAAAATGACTTCTACAGCCCCTGACACCAACGGAATGAATCATAAAAGAAATGAGGAAATTGGTAATAGCAGTTTCTCCAGCAATAAAAACATGATAAAAGGTTCTTTGACAGGACGAAACCTTGGAAGCCCTGCCAAGTAGAAAAACCTAGTGTGCAGGCACTGGCAGTATCTTGCTGACTTTAGTGGGTCTTTGGGGTTCCTAACAACTGCTGGTTCATCCCCCTAAGTCGAGGTGATCTATCAAAATGCCTTCGTGTCCCGGAGCAATCAAAGCCATTTGAACTGAAGTGATTCATGCACGAAAACTGCAGGAAGCCTTGCAGAGCAAGTATTTCTTGATCCAGGCAGAACGGTAGGATCTGCTGTCGCATCCTTTTACACTTGCATGCATGTTTTTGAAGTGATCAGCCCATGTGAGCTCACTCAAAGTTATGTTTGTTCATTTTAAATACATAACCCTAGCTCCTAATTTTGATGACTTTTTTTTAATAAGATGAAAAGTCACAGAGACAATTTTTACATACTGACACTTCTTTCACCATTAGCTCAATGGAAGGAGCCCATAAGATAATCCTATCTAATAATAGACAAGCATGGTAATTGACCGTACCTTCACTATGCCTCCCATTGGCTAATCAGCACCATATGCAAATTAACTGCCGGCAAAGATGGCGGCTAATTTGCATACTGCAGGCAGGGCGGGACAGCGCCATCCCGCCTGCCCCACTGCCATCTGGGCCTGCTATTTGCGACCCCGGGTGGCAGGCGTCCATATGCGACCCGACCCGGGGTGGCAGGGTGGGGCAGCAGCGATCCACTGGCCCAATGGGGCTTCTGTGTGCGACCCGACCCGGGGCTGTGCCCCAACCCCCAGATCGGCCCTGCCATGTGCGTGACCTTTGGACATCCCCCGAGGGCTCCCGGGCTGCCAGAAGGATGTCTGACTGCCAGCTTAGGCCCAATCCCCCCAGGGAGCTGGCCTAAGCCAGCAGGTGGACATCCCCCAAGGGATCTTAGACTGCGAGAGGGCACAGGCTGGGCTGAGGGACGCCCCCCCCCCCAGTGCACAAATTTTTGTCCACTGGGCCTCTAGTATTTAATAAGGTCATCATCCTGATCATCTCTCCAGGCTATTGATCTTATTATTATATTAGATCCCTGCTACCCCCCACCCCTCCCTCCATGCCAAAGCATTATGGCTTTCAAATAACTCTTGTTGGGTTACAGAATTTTTGACCAGTTTTTGTGTCCAGCAAAATGAAAGGAGAAACTTGAGGCAGAACATTATTATTTTCCCCCAATAAACATTACTGGAATGGTTTCCATTTTAAAAATCAGTAATTCCCCCCCTCCCCAATGCTTTTTCTCAGTGGGAATTACTGTGTTGTAGAGGTGACTACTAGGTACAGGGGCAATTAACACGAGGAAGATGAAATGACCCGAGTGTAAACTCCACCAGCAGGCAATGGTGAGCCCTTCTTCTTCCTCTGTCCCTACAGGATCTGACTTGCCTACTCAGATGGCTGGCAAGTAGCACAGCGAGCCATTAAACACACACACACACGCCTGCACAATGTCAACAGTGATGCTTGGAAATACTTATGCAGCTATTCATGACTTTTAATATTTTACATGTTTTCCTTAGTTTAGCTTAGTTTAGACTGGATACTAATCAATCCTTACAAAAGTACACTCCCTTTAACTTTTATATCTAAAAATATTTTAAAATGCCTACTCTTATTTTTTCCACTCAAATGATTAACTTGCTAAGCACATCCAAATACTAGTGTACATGCACACATATACACACACCTATTTCCCCATGATAAAGTAAATGGTAGTGTTTTTAATTAAGGAGCAATTAAATGATTTCTAGCCCCTGGCCGGGTAACTCGGTTAGTTAGAAGTTGGTTAGAGCATCATCCCAGATTCACTCTCAGTTCAGGGCACATACAAGCGGCAACCACTGAATGCATATATAAGTGGAACAACAAAAATCGATGTTTCTCTCTCTGTGTGTGTGTCTCTCTCTCAATAAAAAAAATAAAAGTATAATGATTCCTACCATTTTAGTGTCTTTTCTTTAAAAAAAGTAAAAGCTTGTTACAGCACTATCGTCAAAAGGTTTGGTCACTGTTCAGCAGGGAGTTCATCTGATGAAAATGTAGAGAATATCAAGGTTGGAGTATAGTAATCTGATTAAAACATATTCCAATAGTTGAATCTGCATGATAATATCTGTACCAAGTGGTCACCATTTGTATGGTTGTATAACTACAGTGGAAAATAAAATAAAAAGATACTCTCGGAACATCGAATATCACTAAGACATTTATTAATAACGTTATTACAATTGTGTCTTAAATCCATTATTATTTCAATGGTGAAGAGCTAAATGCCAGACAAACCTCAGGTAGACAGTTATTGCAATTATGTTGACAGTAAATTGCAAGAATCAGGCACTGGCTATATCCTGTTACAGAGAATGTAATATGTTAAAACTTGAGAGAGAGGCTGCATGAATTGGCAACATCTTATTTCATTAAAAAATGATGGAAAAACCTAAAAATGGTGCATGTGTATAGCTGCAGATATTAGAAAAAAAAACGTTCACTTTAAAGTGAATTCTGTACCATTCTTTTTAAAAATCTATCATCTATCAGATGCAGATATGTATTGCTTATATCAAGTGATATTTGTGCTTAAATATAATTTAAGGCAGTTAAATATAAAGTCATGTTTACTTTCATATAAAAATATATATAAAAATAGAGTATTTAAAGGAGGTGGATATTCATACTAAGGAACTCATTGATCAAAATAGTTTTATGTTTCGTAAGGTAGTAAAATTGAGGTATTTGTACACTTGGTAATTTCAGCCATGTGTTGAATTAACCTTCTCAGCTCTTTCTCCCCCCCGCCCCCCAAAAGGAAATTAATTCTTTAAAAACCATTGTTACTGTGAGATGTTATCTCACAACAAAGCATTTGTAAAATAAAGAAATTTACTATTTTGAAATGAAAATATAGAAGAAAAAGTTCTAAATACTAGAATTAGGTGTGTTTTATATGTATGCCACAGTTTTAATAAAAAATAATTTAATTTATGCCTACTCTAAATTTGAATTAGATACAGTTGTTCAGGAAAATAAAAATATAGTTACTAGTAACATAGGAGTATTCGTGGACATGTACAAGTGCTTTATGGAAATAAATGCCTATGCACTTGAGAATGCCTAATCCTTTGCAAAATATTTACATAAAATGTAATTGTAACCTTACATTACACAGGGCTCTATTGGCAAACCAAAGCTTTCTGAAGTAATACTGTCAATGAAACAAAGTAATACATGGGGAACTATATTTTGTTTCGCACTTAAAAATCACACATTTAATCAACTTAGTCTGCAGTTACCCATCCAAGTTCAGGGGCAGGAGAGGAGGGAATGTTTCTGAAAATTACAAAGAGTGCAAAGTCAAACATACTGGTGTTTTAACGGTCAAATGTTACACTTCTCATCTCATAGAATCCATTTGAATTCCCTTGTGGAACATTCCTATTCTTTTCCTTTCAGTTATAAACCTTAAAAAGCATAGGAAAACTGTTTTTCGTAAGCATTAGATTCACAAAGCCGAAGCCACATTAACGCCGCGTTTTCTCCTGGTGAAGGACGCAAGCGCAGTCCCTACTTGCAAGTGGAATGTAATTGCCTTTTTACCCTTCTCCATATTCACAGGCCAATAGAGAATATAACACAACGCTCAACGCATTAGCCTTTCTCCCATAATTTAAGTGCCTGCATTTCTTTTTATTATCACAATGCAATCCCTAGCCCACAGTGGTTCTTGTCCATATTGTATGTTGAGTAACCTTTTCCTGGCTCTGTCTTTCACATGGAAAACCAGCTGATTTTTAAGTGCACATCTTGACTTTATAAAGTGGTAGGAACAAAGTGTTATTACTTTTTTTTAAAAAAAGCTACGTGTGCATTGGTGTGTAACTGTGTGCTGGTGTGCATGAAGGCAGGTAGTCAGTCTAAAATACACACGATGCACAGGTTGTGGGTCTTAGACGATCATCCAGGTTAGTGGTTTGTCTTCAGTTGCAAATTCAGTCCCCATCAGGGAGTCTACGCAGCTCCTTTCTCCGCGCACATCCTGCTGAGAAGGATTTCAGAGCAAACCTGATTAATCGGACCTCGGACGTGATACGGCGATTGAACGTTTATTAGGGAGTCTTGCTGCTGCTGTAGTTTGCTCTGGTTGCTGAAATATTTTCCCACAGTATGATTTCTTGATCGTTTTATTTTAATCAAGTGATTTTCTTTGGATAACTTGGACTTCACTACCTGCAAATCAAGAGCAAAAAAAATAGTGAGACAATCGCGAGGGCCTTTGAGCCCTGCACAGAGCAGTGTAACTAACTCAGGAACCTGAACATTATTTCCATCACATGCATGGTGCCCAAAGGGCACAATATGATTCACAATCCCGAGAACCACAATGGCCCAGCTTTTAGAGAAGACCAAGATCAAAGTGAGAATTTCTGCCTCTTTCCTTCCCTCAGGGTTTCTCTGCCACACTGCTGTGTGCGTGTCCCTATCCAGGCTGGGTGCTGTCACACACAGAAGGCGCTGGCGTGGCTCTGCTGAATCATCGATTCAAGCGTGGCACTCTAACTCTCTCGCGGCAGCCTTTTACAGAATAGCAACTGCAGCGGGTTTCAGAGTAAAACTGTTTTTCCATTGCACGGCATAAGCTGACGCTGTTACAGTGAGTGGTTTCATTTCTCTGGGCTCCCAGTAAATTCTGGAACCTGAAGGAGCAGTCTATGCCTTAGTAGGCTAAAACTTTATACTTGTTTGTACATATGCAGATACATATGTGCATTTATTTACATTTTCCGACTCGGCAGTATAATAAGCATTTGTAAAGCACAAAAAGGTCTATAATAAAACCCCTCCCTATGTCTGTCCTCTACCTCCAATTACTCAGTTACCTCCCCAGAGGACACCAGCTTCTTTGTGATTCTATTCACAGATGTTTTATGGCTATCAATGCACACATAGACCAAGAGGCCATGTTTACTGTCTATTTGCACAGTTTACAACAAGATGCCCTGGTGGAACCCTGTACTTTTCAGCTGTCATCACTGAGTTATATCACTCAGATTATTAGCACCAATGGTCAGAGAGAACTAGGTGGGGACCAAGACTGAGATTGGAGAGGGGGTTGGGAAATAGGATGAGAGAAAATATAGTAACACCCCGATATAACAGACTAATACGGGCAAGGGGTGTCCTTTAAAGCTGAAAGTCCATTAGATAATGAAGTAGGTTTTCCAAATGGGTATGTTCAAAATTTGACACATTAGTTCACCCGTTTTTGCTTCTGTAGACACATTTGAGAAATTAAAATTAAGTGTGTATGAAAAGCTGACTTTCACAGAAAAGTTTTCTATATGCATTACTGTCCCTTTAAATGTCTACTGAGTAGGTCTAGGAAATGCGTGCATTCGCCAGTCACCACCAGCAAACAAGTGCACACGCTGGGGTTGGCTTAGTGCAGATGGGACATGGGCCTGCACGTGTTAAAACTGTTGCTGAAAGTCACGCCACACGACAACGAAACCAATCACTGTGTGCAATGCAGTGTGATCATGTGCTGATCATTCCCTGAACGTTGTTTACGAGCGGTGACTCTTGGATTTAAATATGTAGACTATGGTTGCAGACATGTAATATTTATTTTTGTCCACGAAATTACTAGTGTTTTTTCCAACATATGGCCATTTCGCTAAAATTTGTTAAAAATAACAGTGAACTAATAACAAAAAAATAACCTGTTTAATTTAATTATAAGCAAAACTTGTTTTAAAGCATTTTAAAACTAACAGGGTGTTAATTTTCACATATGACATACGAATAAGTAATTTTGTCCATTAAAGCCTAAGTCTGTTACATTGAGGTCTGCAAAATCGAGGGTTTACTTTACTGGCAAAGATGTTTTGGATGGCTTTAGAAACGAGTAACAAACCATTAATTCCATCATGTTAATGCAATTGTAAGACATTAATTTTGGTCAATATGGACACATAAATTAGTTACTAATGACTAATGAAGGTAACACTACCTAACATAGATTTTTTAATTCTTTTGAGTGTTTTATAATGATTTGGATACATATTTTTTGATCCTATGTAAGAGAATGTAATAAAAAACAGTTCAAAAAATACATAATACTTGAAAGAAATGATATCTATTTTGAAGATAAGTATTTTTAGTTATATTATAAGTGAGTGAGCATGAACCTTTTTAGAAGATATTTTTAATAGAGATTCTGTAATGATCTACACTAGAATGTTAAGAGTAGAAATCTTTGGGTGGAGAAATTACTGTAGAGGTGATTTAAAATGTATTCTCAACAAAAATAGATCCAGAGACAAAGAAACACTGAACAGACCATCCAACCTCAGAGAGAAGGCAGGGGGAGGGGGGGGGTGGTGTAAGACAGCAACCAAAGGCCTTGTATGCATGCATATAAGCATAAGGTTAATCGGGGAAAAAGGAGAGGTATGGAATATTTTAAATAATTAAAAAAGAAAAGAAAAAAAGAAACCTTTCGTTTGTATCACTGAAAAAAAATGTATTCTCTATCACTTTTGGTCTTGACTTTTAAAATTTAATACAAAGAATGTGCATTACTTCATAATCATATAAATGTTGAGGCTACTCTCATTTTGAAGAAAAAAATATAATATTAATGTGTTTTGAAACCAATTATACCCTTCCAACCCCAAAGAAATGACTTGTCTTCCTATAGCTATGGGAGGCTTGGCTTTTTATGATGAGTCCCTCAGAGGAAGTGACTCTTAAGAAGTCCAGTGAAATCAGTGGTTTGCGGTAAGCAGTCCCTATGGATCGTAATTTAGAGCTCAGTTTGCAGTTAACCACTGATTAGTATTCCAGGCCCCAAGGTTGTACGTTGCTGTTATGTGCAGCAACTTCTGCCTCTGTTCGGTGATGCTATAACTTTAAATATGATAGGCTGGGAGGCGCACCAATGTTTTCCTGAAGGTTTTGCCCATTTGGGGAGGTCTGTACTCAGTGATAGCAAGATTAGTGAACATTTTTAAAGTTTATTTCAGGAAACACTTGAGCACAAATATTACATTCAACCCTGAAAAAATATTAGTACAGTGTTCCGAAACCAAAATTAGGTTAATTTTGTTTATATAATTTTATCTTACGTGGATGGTCTGCATGCCAATTACATGTAAAATGGAAAAAAGGTCCATCCCGATGCAAAAGGTTATAGAACTTCAAACATTATTTTAATGTTTTGTGTGATTCCAGGGCTGCATTGAATGTTGCATTACCCATGTTGGACAATGCTAGCGAGGATGCACGTAGCAATCTTGAATGCGGTTCATAAAAGAGATACACAAAAATACATATTCCCAGTGTGCTTGCTGAAGCAGATGCTTTCACTCAGGAGTAATGTCAATGTTTTACCACACCTTTCCACAAAGGAAACTTGATCTTGTATTTCTGTTTGTAAATCACTGAAGTGAGAAAGAAAGATGAAACGAGGGGGTCTCCCCTAGTGTCCGAGGGCCAGCCTAATGCCACCTGCAGAGCCAATGCTCCCTCTATGCTTTCCTAGATTGACACCTACGTGCCTATGCCAGGGATTGGCCCAACAACTCTTAATGTAGTTGGTTTCCTTTGAAATTATTTTCCAGGAAATAATAAAAGATAGGTTTCCTAACTCCTTTGTTAACAGAGTATCAATTTAATTCTGAATCCTGAAAGCGGACAGACCTACAGAGAAGGAATTATTTCAATTATAATTTGTCAAAATATAGATTCAAAGAAATCCTCCCAGATGCTGTTGTAAATGGAATCCAGGAACCTTTGAAAATTCCAGCAGCATTATGTGCTCTGCCACGAGCTCATACATTTATTTCAGGAATGCAAGGTTTAATCTAATGAAATGTTTTGCTCTAGGAAATGACCAAGGAATTATTTGTAGCTATATGATTGTTTACCTTGAAAACCCGAAGGAATCTACTGCAAAATAATGAAATGCTAGAAGGAGAACACTTGAAAATTATATATCTTTTCTATATTCTATCAATAATTCATAGGAAATATACTACAGAAAATATTCCATTACATTACTAAAACAACTTCAAGTTAACAGTGATGCAGGTGAAGAATATATCAAAAGTTTAATGAGACATGAAAGAAATTGTAAACAAATAGAAAGACATACCATGTCAAATCCTCCCAAACTAATTAAAGTGCTATTACAATGGTAATCCCAGCAGGAATTGGGAGGAACTTAACAAAGAAATTCTAAAATACATCTTTAAGAGTAAATGTAAGAAAAAAAATCAAGACCATCTGTGAAGGAAAAAAAAAAAGTAGTAATGAGGGAGACTGTCGATACCAGACATTCATTCATCTGTATGAACGGGATCTACCATCAACCCACCATAGACTCAACTTGTTGGTTGTATAAGCCAAGTACAAGCAGAATTCAATATTGAGAGAGGAAGAATAGGAATGTTCATACTGCAGATTAAAATGCATTTCATAGACTGCTACTGTTCCTTAAAATGTTCATTAAAAAATAAGGTAGTTTTAAATAAAGCCCAATGTTATATAAATCCAGTGACCATAAATTTTGACGGTGTAATAGTTTTAATTATATGGGATTAAAATAAGAGTATATGTTTAAAATGTAGCTATTTATCAAATGGCCAGTAGTGTCTCCAATGGAGAAGTAGATGAGGATTGGGAGGTGTATCTACAAGGTGTCCCCAAAACATGAATACACATGTTTTTACCAGCGGATGGCTCAATGGATGGTTCTTTCTTTTCAGCCAGATTAAGCTTTGAACAAAGGAAATTTATCCTAAAATGCTACTGGAAGTTTGAAAACACAGTTGAAGTATAAACACTGTCTTTATAATTATTCAAAGTATGTATACATTTCCCTGTGTCCCTCCAAAATGTACTTACACTTTAACACCTGATAATTCACTTAGCTTTCATTCTTTTTCAGGTTTAACTGTTTAAACAAAGGATACTTATCCACTGGACTCTTTTATGGGGATACATAAAAGATAAATCTTAAGGTACAAAACCAGCAACAGTTGATGAATTGAGGGTGCACAATACTGAACGAAATGATTCTTGATGTTTGTGATTCCATTGCTTCGCATTATCAGTAGTGCTTGGACCAGAACGGTCACCAGTTTGAAAACAGTCATTGACATAAAATTTATTCACTTCTATAGAATCTTTTAATTTTAAAAAATGAACTGTATGTTAATAAACAC